TTCATATGATGGTTAGTTATTCTCTCTACGAATTGTTTCATAAAGTGTGTCATTTCTTTTAGACTTAAATAGCTGCATTTTTTTTTATTCGATGCTATATTGCAACAACACTGAATCTTCTGCGTAAAGTAGCTTAACAATATCCACTCTTTTTCAGACTAGTTTGTAGGAGAAAATTAGCATTTTAGACATATCATATTTATAAAAAATGTATTCATTTCGAAGAACAAAACTTAATCTAATCTTATTCATCACGTATCATTTTTTTGCCTGGCATAATCTGTGTCATAATCTGTTTTTTTTTTTTTTCTTTTATATATAGTTAACTGCAATAAAGTCATATTTTCTACTTTAAGGTGATGCAGATGCAAAAGAGAAGTTTCGTGAACAGCTTTTCTGGTTGATTAGTAGAGGATATGGGACAGATATGGATGTTAGAAAATTCAATGTGCTGGTAGAAAGTCCCGAAGAAAAAGAGAAAGTTTTGGATGAGGCAGTGAAAAACAATCCGGAAAATGCATTTTTATGGATGATGTTATTGCAGTGCAAAATAAAATCCAACCCGACAGATGTGGAAACGATACGTAAATTGTTCAATAAAGCAACACGAGAAGTATGCTTTTTCAAATTATTTGATATTTTTTTAGAACGATGAACTAGAAAAGTGTCTCAGTGTTTTCCTGAAAATTATATTTTTCATTAAACGATGCTACAGGTTTTCAAAAAATGCTTTCTGTGTTAATCTCTTTAAATCGCCGTCAATCGGTGAGTCAAATTGACGGAATCTTCAGTCTTTTGTCAGATTTTCAATGTGTACTTGTGTCGATCCATAGAAGTGTCATTTTTGAGGATAAATGCAAGTGTGGTAAATAAAAGAAATACATTGATGAAGTCTTTAGTAATGCTTTAGCATCTGAAATAACTTAAGCTTTTATAGCTTTGAATATTAGTTGCTGCTTGGATATTTTAATAATATATGGTAGTAGTATTGCTTCGAATTGTCAAACATATTAACTTTTTAAGGCATATGATGGAAGTTATGGTCTTGTTAGCATGTACAAAGTAATCATCGATTGGGCGCATCAGTACTCGGAAGATGATGTGGATGATTTTTTCAGACAAGCTACTTTCCGTACAACACCGAAAGTTGCATGTCAAATGCGATGTGTTCGTTTGAAGTAGGGATTTTTTCTGTTGTAATTCAGTTTCTTAATCGCCTAGATGGTCTCTGTCTCTAGTCCTTTGATAGTGTGAAGAGACATTGAATGGCCTTTTATTTTTTTGCCTTTCAGTTATTGAGATTTAATAGCAGTGAACAACTGAGTGATAGTAAACAATGACTAATATTGTTAGTGATTGAGAAGAGAAAAGATGAGAGAGCAAAAAGTTAGAGAAGCAGTGCTTCAAAGCTGCATCAGAGTATGTTTGATAATTGAAATTTCTCGTCCAGTGACTAATAATGATTTTCAGTTACATGGCTTCTGTTTATCATGATAGACCTAATAAACTAAGGGAAGAATATTTCCTGTTTGCAAAACATCCACCAAACAGGTAATGAATTCCCAATATTTTGTAGTTTGTCAATTATTTGCAGTCTGCTTCACTGCCAAACCACCATAAATTCCTGAATTTTGAAAATGGAATCTAATTGATTGTTGAGTTTATTGTGTTTTCTATTTCTTAAAAAAAAGATTTTTATTTAGTTTCTTTACGATGTAATAGCACGTCTTGGACAATCTATTCATCAACTTTCCCACTTTTCCTAACTTTGTTAATTGACGAAATAAAAAAAATTCTTTTTTATTGTCCATTTTTTCTAGCAGAGTTATTAACAAAAATTTTTATTTCAGTATTGAAGTTCATCAAACATTTATCAAGCTTGAATTAAAATCAAAGCAAATATCAATGGAATTTGTTGCACAGGCTTTTGAGTTAATGGTTGTAGAATTTGGAAGCAAGGCACACGAATGTTGGATTGACTATGCGAATTTTATGTTGAAATATGAGCCACTCACGTTACAAACAATTCATAGGGTAAGCTAAGTCTTTGAAGTAGCTTGAAGTGTTTGAAAAACTTCCCGAATTGTTGCTATATTTTGCCAGGTGATTTCATTTCATAACTGCAATTATTTGAGCATTGTTGGTTGCCGACTATAATATGTCAATGAGCATTTTTTGCTAATCTCAAATTATGTCAGTATTACATTTGGATTAAATATAACTTATGAACTTCTTATAGTTTCTTTAATATGCTGGAGTAAAATTTATGCCTTTAGAAAAACATTAGCTGAAAATCCTTGAATATTAGGTTTGTAAATAATTCAAGTTGGTGCAGCTTTTAAAACTTATTTAATTGACTTGATTTAGTTACGTCTTTTTCAGCGCGCTATGGCCTCATTGGTATCAGATGAAGTCGAACCATTTCTGGCAGCTTATAATAAATTGCTGCAAAATTCTGTTAGTATTTATACTGAATCAGATTCCGATACGGAAAAGGATATTGAAAATATTGATCTTATTGAGGACGACGACGATAATACTGCATAAGAAGCTGCAATCGAAGCTGTTGAGAATTTTCAGCAAGAAAAATCCAGTTAAGAAATAATAGTGAAGAATCCTCTAAGTTGGTCACTTGCAGCAATACCTGAGTTTTTCTTATTACTAGGTTTAACTGTATTGTATTTTCGTGATTCGTATGATTATGTCGGGTAAAATCAGTATCTCTTATTCTTTGCTTTATTCATGTGTAGAGCTGTGTGATCTTGAAATACTTTCGAAGGCTTACTGGGTGATTTTGTTTTGGAAAATTATCTCATTATAAATTAGAATTAATTTGAGTTAAAACTATTGTAGGATGCAGAAATAAAGTATTTTTTTTTCATCTTAAGCATTTAGGGTGAGATAGATGAGGTGAAGATGAGTGGGTCGAACATTACTATTCCTCTTAATTATAACTTGTTACATACATATATATATAGCAGGTATGCATGCATTATGCTAGATATTATCATTTGACTTGTTTTTATGATACTTCTCCTCTACGCATGAGTTTCAAATTCTCTATTTAGATAAGACGTGACAGTTAAAGTTTTCCTTTTTTGATTTTTTCATTAGCTATAGTCGTGCAGTGAAGAAAAGAGGTACGATTGTGATACAAAAAGTTAAGGTATAAAAAAGTTAAGTGCAGTGAGATGTTTACATGCCAGATGTGAATCTTTCACCCTCAGTGATCTAAAAATTTTCAGTCATTGCAATGTTTCTCTGGCGTCAAGTCGATGTAGGATTTGTTATTTTTGGAATCGTTCTGAAATGTTGGAGCATATATATATTGAGAAGACAATATGTAACTTATCGTGCAATTTAGGCTTAAATAACACAATTGAAATGACCTGTCTGTAGATTTCCACCAGAGACAGTGGGGTTATTGATATTTAAATGAGCCCCTGAATGTTGTCTTTCGGTTTTTTTCATTATATTGAATTTTCTGTGAATCATACCAGCCTAATTCCTATTCAAATTAATCACAAATGAATAAAGTTAAGTGGCAAATACTGGATCCACCAAATCCATAATAATTTTCCAAGAGAGCACTTTTAGTTCGTTTAAAAAGCTTTGTACAAGCTCGAAGGATCCGCTTTCACAAATCTCTATGGCGAAAAACGAGAGACAAAAATGAGAGGTGATAAGATGTACTGGAATCAACAGACTAAAAAGACTAGAATCCAAACCCTTTCTTAACATCAACATTGTTTCTTTATATGGGGAAGGGTCTAGAAGCGCTGGCTTAGCCAACGTTTATTCACGTGCTCTACGCTGTTGGCTAACCGCGATAGAACGATTACTTCGATGTGACAAAAAAAAAGCAAAGGCAGATATCTGTCTTACGTTTAGATTGATTCTCTGAAGGAATGTCAAAGCATGCATGATGTCGCTGATCGTGACATCCGAAGCATCATTCTCTAATTACCCACGAACTAACACTACCCAACCTTCCATTGTTACTTGCAATGAAATTTATAAAGGCAGCCTTAAAGAACATCACCACTATTAAAACATTATTAATCATACAACTTCAAACAACATTGAAGAGCTAATTTAATGATCAATGTCTCCACTGGAAATCTGCCGAAGGTCAATTCAATCTGTGAACTGTTTGCGTCTCCACCGCATAACAAATGGATGAATGTATACTGAAATGAAGTTGACAATGGAAGGTTGGCTTGCAAGGTAATCATTGTGGTTTTTTTACCTATGAATTTTGCTTTTTTGATTTCGTGTTTCTTAATTTATTTACCTCACTTTGTCATGAAGTAAAAAAACATTGGCAAGTGGTGATTTATCCAAAATTGTGGGAAAATTCCGATAAGAATAGATAAATTATTTATGCAGACAGTTATTGTCTGGCTTCATTTAATACAATTGGTTGTCCAGCTTTCTGAATGACTACAAAAAACGAAAATTCAATAGAACAAAATTAAGCAAATGCTAATGAATGAAAAAAAGTTCCGGAAATCTTTATAAAGAACTGTAGAGAATTTTGTCGAACAGTGTAACATTTTCATTTCCAAATTTTTCATTTACCGCCACTTCCAGTTTCCTATTTCTTTGCTTGAGCACTTCATGAATTTATAATTTGAATCGACAAAACAAATGTTTGATAACAATTGATGCATCATTTTAGAAAGGAAAATGGTGCATAGTTCGTATTGATAGAGTCGTTCGTCTTTCGATTTCGATGCATCGTTGTGAAGTAATGTAATAATTGATAAGAAAATAAAGATTAAAATATGTACAGTAATTATTATGAGATTTAGATATCAAATTATCAAACAAATTCCTATTTAACTGAGCAATAAAACAGTTCTCATCTTTTCCTTCATCAGCGAACATTTGATTCATAAATTAGAATAAAAATAATCTTTACACTGAGTATCTGTCTCTCAGTGAAACTTTGTAGAGGGAAAAATTATCTTCTTGCAAACATTCTAAACAATAGAACAATGCACAGCTGGAAAATTATTATGGAATTGCTTAGTGGATTCAGTATTTGTCATTTAATTTTATTCGCGAATGAATTGAATGGGATTAGTGCTGGTCCAGTACACAGCAAAATGCTATATAATAAACGAGACATACTGCAAGCAGCAAAAGCAAAAAGAATAGCAAAGCTGGCAACAACAACAATAGCAGCACAATCTAAGTAAACAAATTTTAAAATAAGAATGGTACCTGTCCAGTATCTTAAATTGTTGTCGAAATGGTAACGTTGCTATTAGATCCATCACAACTATTACAAACTATTTGGAAACCTTGGTAACTCGCAAATTTCCATTGCTTATAAAACAAACGGATAAACTAATTATGCACAACGAATTACCGATTTAAACTGTAAACAATTTTTGAGCAGTTTGTAATTTCAATTTCGATCATCAATAGGGCTTAGCAATTTCACTCGTTAGTTGCTGTATTATATTTGTTTATTTCAGATCATTATTATACGCTTGATTTAGCTCGAGTGATTGTGCCAAAAATTTTTGTTGATAGTAAGTTATGAAAAAATTGGCCATAATTTAGAGTAATTTAATTATTTGGTTTTAATAATTTAACATTTTTTTAGTTTAATTGGGAATTAAAATTTTTTATTTAAATAGTTTAAAATAATTTTAAAAGAAATGTGCAGCAAATTAGTGCAAAATTTGAAATTAAAAAAAAAAAAAAAAGAAAACCTTCAGGAATATGGCGATATGTTTTAAATGAAACAGCTAAATATTTGGCCAAATATGACAAATTACGCTTCTTCTCTGGCGTAACGTATGATCAAGATGGTGACGGCGTACGTGATAGTGATGATGTCATCAAGTAAAATTAATCTTCTGATTTAAATTCATCCCTTCGTTTTTTGTGGAAAAATTCATATCACATAATTCAAATATACTATTCTTTCATATATCTCTTTGACACTTCAGAAAAAGTGATCCGTCACACTTATTCTTTGTGCCTATGTGGTGTGAAAATAGCACACTGATCGATCATACTTCATGCAAAGATATCATTTTTATTCCTTACATATTACCACTTAAAGGGAAAAATTTGAATTATTTGGTAAGATAATTGATGCATATTGAAGAAATTGCACAGTTTTAAATCAGAGTATATTCAATCAAGATGATATCTCATTTTAGAATAATTCAATTGTAAATTGAAAAGATCAAAAGATCGATCAATTCTGACCTTTTCAATTTGATAAGATTTATTTCTGACTTGCACTAACTGATTAAAAGCTTTTCAAAATATATTTGCAAGTATATTGCACTACAAAATAAAAAATATTGCATATTTTAAGAATTTGTTTTAAAAAAGTTTTCAAAATTTTAAATGCATACATTGATTACAATGCTTCCTTCTTACATTAAGTTTATTATTCTATTATTATGTCACACATTTCCCAGAAAGTTTTTTTTGTTTTGCAGGAGCCTTCAGAATATCTCTATGATAACACAGCTCGAATGCGTGATATCGAACTATTAACTGGAATAGAATTTTTCACTGATAGAAATATTTGGTCAGATGTGGAAGCAATCCAACTACGAACTTTATTAAGAATACGGTAAATGATTTTTGGTGACATAAGCAATATGTGACATTTTCTCATCAGTAATATTCACCTGCAATTTAGTACAAATGTAATTCAATTATTGAAAGTTAGTAATTTAAGAATTCTTTAACATAATCAAATAATGTTGGATAAAAATTAAAGATTGTTAGAGAGTGAGTAAGACATGGTATAATAAAATTGAAGAATTTCTAAATGAAATAAACTAAATAATTATTTATTGAAAGTTAGTAATTTAAGAATTCTTTAACATAATCAAATAATGTTGGATAAAAATTAAAGATTGTTAGAGAGTGAATAAGACATGGTATAATAAAATTGAAGAATTTCTAAATGAAATAAACTAAATAATTATTAAAACTGAGTGACTCATGTTAATATATCATTACGATCAAAGTAAATTGAATTGTTTAAGTTTAAAGATTCTTTTTGAATTTCAAATAAGTTTACTTTTAAGGAGTTATTAGTATCGCCGTTTTTAGAAATTTTTCTTTTGAAACACTTTGCAACATTCCAAATTGTTTAATTCTTCATTGTCATTTCCCTTCAATTTGATAACAAAATTGTCATAAATTAAGCAAAATGGGTAAATCTTCCTCATTCAATCAATAAATTTCGATTTTTTCGATTTAAGTGGTAGTAACTTATAACTCACATGACACTGATTCAGTCATTTTGGTTGAAAAAAAGACATTATTTTACAAAATTAGATCAGATTATTTGACTGATGGTTTCCAGTAAGTTCAAATTTTGAGTTTTTTCTGGAAAAGCAGTAATCATTCAAGCAAAGGATTGCTGTTCAAGAGGATAAAAAGTAAAATTGAATAACTGTACTATTTAAAAGAAAAAAAAAATTCTTCCAATAATGTATATTTATCCTCAGATAACGCTTGCATGACATAAGTCAAAAAGTAAATGAGTTTGTTAAACTAAATCCATCAAAAGAAAAAAAAAGAATGAAATGAAAGCTTGAGGAGGGCTGTTATTGATGCGACTATTCCACTGAAATTGATCAATTTTGACAAAAATTTCCACTTACAGTTAATCGATAATAAATGTAAAATTATTTCCCACAGTAAATATATTTGATCAATTGCAAGAAAAATTTGTTAAATTCGAGACCAGCATACACAAATGAAAAATATTATTGTTGATGATTCATGGATGAGTAAAACAACAATTTGAAAATGCTTGTTAATATGGAAAATAAATGCATATAATGCAAATATGATCCAACTGTATATAAGTATGATAGTGAGTTTAAAAATTTGCTTAATTATACAGCTAAAATAAGCCAAGCAGGTAAAGGATAAAACATTTTGTTCGATTAATACAAAAAAAAAAAAAAATCATAGAAATAACTGATAAAAATTCAAATTTTTTCAATACACTATTAATTAACTAAAAGTCAGTTTTCAATTTCAGTTTCAAACAAAATAACAATTTTACCAAAAATCCACTTTATTTAATTTTTGTTTTCAAATTTCTATCTTGAATTTCTTTATCTGATGATTGAGGAATGCAAAGCAAAACTGTTGTTTAAATTAGGTTTCACTGACATGCAAAACTGAAATGCTATTAGCATATATGGTGCAACGATGACAACGTGTGATGTATATGACATTGATAAATAAGCACTATGAAAAGAGAAATCTGCAATATATGAATCAAATTTTAGCATTATTTAATCAGTCAGTTACGGCAATTAATTATTTAGATATTTGTTATTCGACTGATTTACGGAAATCATTCTGGAATGCTTACACCTCTTTAATCAGTTAACTCGCATAATAATTAATTATTCTTAAGACAAATATTACAATTGTCCACTGTATAATGCTTAACTATTAGCTATGTTTTTTCTTTGTAAGACATATTGTTTGCTATATTTTAGTCTCATATACCTGAATTGTTATTTGTACCTAATAGCCAAATTGTTATCATTGAGTTGATATTTTCAAAGTTTAACAAACTTTTGTGAAATATTCCGTTGATAATATTATAAATAAGGTAATGGATGTAAAATTCAATGCTTAATTGACTGTCTATATTATTTAGTAGTATGATGAAATTCGGTATAGTTTTTGTTCTAAACATTCCATTTATACTGCTGGCAACAAAAGAGACCTTCGAAATGACCTGAATTGCAAACGGGAGACATGTTTCTGGTCTGAAGAAAACAAAAAATCATCGAAGCATATAGGCTTACAGGGGATGCACTAGTAAGGATCGAGTAAGCTAAGAGAGTAAATAATTATTATTCTAGAATAGTCGTTGGAGATCTTGAATAGAGTAGCAGCATAGATAGAAATAAATTTATTAGTTAAAAGAAATGATAGCTTAAATAGTTCTGTTGTCATTAAATGGTTAGCTTATAGTTAGCATAAAAATTTCTGCAAACTACCATTGCTTGATTTCAAAGATGTGTTTTGAAGGTATTCCGTGAAGCATTGAAAGCATATTGTAATTTCCATAATGTGGCTAAAAAGCTTTAGCGACATAATAAAAAGTAAACTGAAATATTGTAATATTATATTTTTTCTATTGTAAAATTAAAATATGGTGAAATAATCCTTATGTATAATTTTTTCCTTCATATCATTAATCAATACTAGATTAATTAATTGATTAGTTATATATTCGTCAAATCATCCCACAAATATGACACGCTAAATCTTGAAAGTCTTTCGTAAATATTTATATCTGGATGAAATTAATTAATTAAAATACTTTTTTTTTCTTGTAAATCTTAGAAAATATTCAAAAGAAAAAAAAACACATTGTTCAATTTATTCTTTTAAAAAAAAAAGATAAAACGAAAAGGCGGTAATCGATCTAAGTACAACGTTAGTTACGCATAATATGACACATAAATGATTGTTACCCGCAACTATATTAGCAAAGCATAGTGCAACATTTCTTTTGCCGATAAAATCATTGAAAAAATATTTACTTTATGGAAGAGAACAACAAAAGCTAAAATGAAATAAACAACTAAACGAATGGCGCAATTGTTCACTTTACAGGCATACGATATTTCACTCTTTTCGGCGCAATTGTTCACTTTACAGGCATACGATATTTCACTCTTTTCGGCGCAATTGTTCACTTTACAGGCATACGATATTTCACTCTTTTCTTTTTTTTCATTTTTATTTCAAATTGTTTTTTCACAGTATTATCCACCGCCTAATTATTATCATTTTCATTACAAAAAGTTTTCTTTTTTTATCACCACTAATCGTTTTTCTCAAAAGCTGCAGTTGTAATTATGGCATTTTTTTTGTCATTATCTCTTTTACTATCATATTTTCCTTTCATATTATATTCATTAATAAAAATTTCATTTAGCTGGATATTTTTAAAATCCGTTATTAATTTATTAACGTTTTCAAATCGTTGAACTGAAAACAAATTCAGATAGTTAAGAAATCTAAATAAGCCAAGTTATAATTTGAAACCTTCTGACTGCTGCTATCTAACCTCGTTATAAAGCGTTGATTTAAAAAAAAAAAAAAAAAAAAAAAAAAAGAAAAAAGAAATAATATGGTGTATTTATTTAGAAATAGAATGTATTCTTCAAAAGTTCATCATTAAAATTTAATATTTTTATTATTAATATTTGTTTTAAATTTAATTTTCACATTGTAAGCAAAAAAATTCACAAATAACTGATGAAAGGCGCATATATTGTCATTGCCGGGCAAAATCGATAGTGAAAAGTAACTGATTTATAATTATTTCTGAGAAAGGCAAGTAAAATAGATGGGATAAATTGGTCAATTAAATTGTATAATATGATCAAAGGATAGCAACTATTCATTAAATTTCATGCTGATTAGAAGTAACGATAGTGTTCAATTTTCAATTTTCAAATTATTCCATTTTGGAAAAAATATCAATTCATTTAATTAATTAAACATTTTAATTTCATTGCAACATAAAAATTATAGTATTTTAGTATTTTTAAGTTTAATAAATATAAAGTTCAATTTTTTTTTTTGGCATTTTTTTGATACTACTTAAATTAATTTTCTTTTATTCTAGGCAAAGTTTTTTGCAATCTTTGGTGCTGTTTTACAAAATTTAACTCTTTTCTTTAATATTAATTGATGAATGATTAAGCAAATTTTAAATTTTGGAAAGAAATAAACTGAGTGGAACGTCAAACATTAATACTTTGGCAATTTCAAAATAATCTTTTTGTGAAGTTGAAAAAAATGGTATGTGAGCTTTAAAAGAATCTTCAAATAACCAAAATTTGGTATTTTAGTTCTTTGTGAATAAAAAAAAAAAAATTTGCGCTTTTTTAAAGAAATAAAGAGACGATAGTTGAATTTGTTAAATTGCTAAAAAAAAAAGTCAAATAAACATTCAATCAAATTATTTTATTTGAATTGTTGGTTTAATTAGTCTAATATTGTTGAAATCATTTTATTAAATCAGTTTTTTAGTTTTTTTTTTTTTAAGTTATTAAAGTGTATATGACATTTTGATTATTTTCTTCCTTTTTTTGTTTTTTTAACAAACTTAGTGTTTTCTTCATATTAATAATTAACTGTCACAACAGATTGAGATCAATTAAGAAGATATTTGATCAGTTTACCACCATCGTATTATAACATTGTATTATCATTAAAATATATCATTTTATATTGTGTTATATATTATTATAATATATATCTTAATATATTATTTTTAATATATATCTTAATATATATCAATAATGGCACAGTTATTACAGCTGAGAATTTTCTGTTTTATTAGTTAATTTTGCGCTATAAATTAAATGATTTTGCTACATTTTTCTATAATTTATTGCATACAGTCGGTTGCTTGTTGGTTGCTTTTAATTTTTAGCTCTTTCCTTTCAGTTGAAATTGTCTCAGAAGTAGTGCTGGTAATATAAGCCTTAGTTGTTCTTCGTTCTTCAAGTCATTCGGAATATTTCTTTATCAAAAAAGAAGAATCAATTATTTCTCACTTACTTTGATTTAA